GTGTGTGATATTGAGTATGGGGGCGGGATGAAGGGAATGCGGGGAAGGGAAACACCTGCCACTCTCTGATTTTTAACTTTGTTTTAGGCCTGGCTTTCCTATTGCCCTCAGAGCAGTGTTGCAATGCCCCAGAAGGAAATAAGAACAAAATGAAAACCAAGTTGTCACAAATTAAAATTAGCAACATTAAGGGTGGGGGGAGCAGTAGGCTTCATATCCTAACCTCATTAATTATCAGGAACTTCCAGTTGTCTCACAGAACAGACATCCTTCTCTCTGCAGGCTGCAGATCAAATACCCAGACAACTAGTAGGGCTTTGTACCTGAGGCAAACCAAAGACATTTTCTTTCCACGTCCTCTGATGAGTCTGGAGAAAATGGGCTTAAACAAAAACAAATCTCAAGACTCAAATCTCAAGACTACCTGAAATGATTACTGTATGCCATACTTTCTCCTTCTAGATTCATGATAAATGTTCATTATAATTTAAAAAGTGATAGGAGACCATTTATTTCACAATTTACGTTAGGGAGTCATTTTATCCCAGTCCCCACCTTTCCGTAAATGGACTCATCTGCTATCTCACAAGCTAAGAGGAAACCATAGCAGAAGACGCGTCTCCGCTCCCTCCTCTCATGGCTCCTGCCCAGGGGAAAAGCAGCAGCCGTCCTCACGGTGAGGGAGGGAAGACTGGCTGTTCACTGGTTGGTCCGTATTTCTCAGTGGGGCCATGTTAAGATTTGAGATTACGGTCATTTGTGCTTTTGCTCGTTGGGGCCCTCCGAGCTTACTGGGATATGGGGAGGGGCATAATTCCCCATACGACGGCATTTTGGGGTGGCTGGAGGAGGCTGTTAATAATACCTGCCTGCTAGTTTCCCCACACAGGGAGTGGGGATTCCCTGTGCTCTCTGGGAGGAAAAGTATCAGAGCAACATTTTCAGTTTCTGTCTCCATCCTTTCTTTATAAGAGGTGCAACTTACCTGATGGATGATGTGGGAACTGAGAGTACACAGTTCAGCCGGCCTCTGCTTTCCCCTTTTCAGAATTACCTACTCAAAACACATATTTTGTTCCATCTCCTCGGACCTCAGCTCACAGGACAGTCTCCATGCCTCCTGGAATTGGCCTACAATTGGGCAGAGAGGTTCAACTCTGGAGAAAGGCCTCAGATCCAAACCCTAATCAAATATTGCCATTATTACAACTGAGTTTTTGCTCTCTATCCAATTCCCTTGTCTACTTCCCCAATATTTTTCAGAACTGTGAGGGAATACTCTGATGGCCTGCTTTAGGGAGAGGCATCTGAAGCAAAGTGGAGAAGAACAGGGCAGTTAGGGTGGGCGTAATTAGTTCAAGCGAGTCTGCCACTGCTTGAACGCCAGCTCAGCCACTAGCATGGTGCTTACCTCGCATAAGTCAATTATTCTTCTTGGTCAGTAAAATAGAGCTAATAACTGACACCCTACTTCTCAGGGTCAAATTAAGACTCATTCCTGGAAAAGTATGAAGCGCATTTCATATACTAAAAAGGTAATATTTTAGAACATTTACTTTACACTAGGAGCAGAGTTTCATGTGTAATAATTCAAATGATCTTCACAACTCTGCAAGGTAGGTTTTGTGTTTTCTCATTTTACACACAAAGACACTGATGCATAGAGAGATTTTATAACTTGCCCAAAGTCACACAGCTAGTGAGTGACAGGGTTGGAATTATAATAATGCAAATAGTCTGGCTCCCTGCCTAAGCTCGTAACTCCCATGATACCCTCTCTTCTTAAATAATGATAGATGGATCTAGTTTTTCAAAATAATTTTGCTTTTAAAATGGGAGGACAAATGCTTCAAATACAAGTTTCTGTCTCCACAAAAACTGGTAGACTCTCACAAATGCTATCATATAACAGAAACAAGATAGCATGCACACTCCCCTTCTGAGCTGACCCATTTCCTTGTCCTTTCCCAGCTTCCTCCCACTTTCTCTTTCATCACTACTTTTGTTGGTGTTTTTCACTAAGATGTGATCTCACGAAAATGTTTGAGTTCTGATTTAGTAAGGATGTTTGGATCATAGAATCTGATATTATAGAGCAAGGAGGGATCTAAAGACCATCTAAGAGAAAATTAAGGCCACCAAGAGATGAAAGAACACAGCAAAGTTCCATCAAATGCAACTGAAAAAAATATTATAACCCAAATTAAATTTAAAAAGTGGTACCATGAGAACATCCATTAAAGTGTGTGTGTATGAAGAAAAGAACTAGAAGAGGAGACTCATAGAATCTTAAATTTTGTGTGCTGTGGATCTTAATGTTTAACCCTGTAGCATTGTGCTTTTTCTTATTGTATGTTTTAGTTTTACTGGTTGATATTCACTTGATAAATCACCTATTGCTAATCTCCGACTCTAACACTGTGGATGATTTAGATAATGATGCTCTGTATCATCAAGCACATCCCCACAGACTAAGGTAGGGTTTGGCACAATGTGAATAATCCTTAGCATATAACTTTTAGGATGACATGGATTTGTACTCAAAATTCTGTTCTCAACCCTAATCTCTACAATATCTTCTAACAGCTGCAAGGTTAAGAGATAGTTCCAGGCAATCCTTTGGCATGAGAACCGAGTCAACCTATTGTGATAGTGACTCTTTTGGGAGCCTTTGTTAGCCCCAGAACAGACCACCCTGATGGGGCGGTGACCCAGTCAGTGCTCCTCAAGAGTCTATGTCACACTGGTAATGTCAGGGTTTGAACACAAGACTGATCTCAAAGACCATGCTGACTCCACATGTTACCAAGGGTTCAAATGCCAGTTTTTTCCAGTAGTTTGCTGTGTGGCACTGGGCATACTGAACAGTTCAGTGTATTTTTGTGAAGATTCCTTTGTTTGCAATTTACATGCATTGGCTGAAATCTGCTTTAGTTAGAGTAAGTACTTTATGGGGTTTACAGGAATTACATGAGAATATAATCCAAGGATGTGAAATACAGTTTATGAAAGACAGAAACAGAAACTGGAATATCAGGAAACAAGGTAGCTGTTTTTCTTACTCTGCATGTCTCAGTGGTCTGTCTGCCCAGCTCATCCCTCTCTCTCTGAACACTGGGTCTTAAAACTTTTCTACATGCCTGGTTTAAAACACTTAATGTCTTCCTTGGCAGGCTTGCTGAATAACCTTCCAACTTTACCAACATTGGTCCAGCTTCTCTTAGATGCCCATTTTTGTCACGTGCCAGGGAACCCATCTTGTTGGTGAGAGCCAGGCTTTAGAGGAGGGCATGACAAGTTGACATGTAAATAAATGTAAACTACAGCCTATCTACATTTCCTCATTTGCAAAATGGGAGGACTGGATTAAATAACAGTAATAACTGATAGTAACTAAGTCTTTATTCTATTTCAGGCATTTGTCAATGTAATTTACACATATTGTCCTATTAAACCTTGTAACAATCCTATGAGGCAGGAAGTTTATTGCCCCATTTTACAGGTGATATAAATGAGGCACATAAAGGTTGAGGAACAATGATCTCTAAAGTGCCCTGTTGTTCCAAAATGTCAAAATTCCAAATGTAGTTCCTGTAGTTTTTAATGAGACATCACAGTCTGAATAAATCTAACAGAGACAGATTAATAGACTGAAAATAATATTAAGGTATATTTAATTTCTTAACCTTGGGCCTTTTTTTTTCTCAAAGATAAAGCTAAACAAAACTGGTAAAATTCATTTCAATGATCAGATTAATTTAGATGCTTGTTATACTAAAATGGACAGGACATGATAACAGTAAGTGATGAAATAGTTATTGTCAAAATAGTGACTCAGGCATCCAGAAAAAATATCTCCAAGTAGGAAATGTGGAGTTTGNAGAAAGGAAGAAAATATGAAACAATTCAAGTTGAGTTCCTCAACTTTGGAAGACATGAGAATTTTTCCCTTACAGGTGTATTTCAATATTGTTTGAAACGCTGTCAACCATGTTATATTGATAGTAGGTTACGATGCCTCATTCATGATACCACTTGAAAGTGCCCAAGCTATATTACCTCTTTTCAAATGCAGCACAGTAGAAAAAGTTTTGAAAATGTGGTCTTTCCCAATGATAAGGAGAAAAGAATGGGGAAAATGTTTAATTAAACAATTTTTATTTTCATACTATATAATGAAAAGCTCTACATTACTGGAGGAAAGTAATACAAAGTCAGCAAAGCTTATACATCAGTAGTGAAGTGCCCTTCAAAGTTTCACTGCAATATACGCATGAATGGATTTAACTAAAGAACCAAATTTCATTTTGTGTGTAATAACTACAGTAAAAAGAATTTTTTCTCACCATCTAAGGATGAAAATTATTGCCATTATAGAAAGACAACAGTCATTAAATAAATTAACAGCATCTTCAAAGTTTTTCCATATACATACACAATATATATATTTTAAATTGCCATTGACTGTACAAGCATTAAATTCTCAACTGAAACATTTACAGAAACTAGTGTGGAAAGCTGGAGGGAAGGCCTGGTTTTTAGAAAAGGAGGAATCATATAATCACCCATAAACTACATTAAAATACAATCCTCAAGAGAAAAAGCTATACAGAGATGATCTACTCAGGATTTTTTATTTTATTTCATATCTATCATACACATCAGGTATGCATAGCTGTTCTCTAACCCAATCTTGATTTAACAAGAAGTCAATATACAGACATAATTACTTGTTAACACAGAGAAAAGTGAAAGCAGAAGGACTAATGTTATTATATAAAAATTTAATCAGACTGATAATAGTATTATACATAGATATATGATTGTCTATGAAAATATTAAACAGGCAACAGGAGTTTTTTATTAAGGTAACAAATCTCTTAATGAATAAATCATCAATAGTTAATATGTAGCTAGTTAAATGTAAAAATGTATATGGACGATTGGAGTCCTGAGATCTGGGGAATCCAATCTTCCAGTATAAATTCTACAAACCCAAATCCTGTAAATTGTATATTATTTACACAGGTTATAATAAAATACTTTGAAAATGCTATATTGACATTGACAGTCTCTGAATTTGAATTCAAGAGAACAGCTGTTGAAAAAAAATTCCTTTTTAAAGTGACTGTGTGTTTGTCTCACATCTACAAGTGGGGGTGGAGTGGTGGTTGGGAGAGAGAAAGAGGGACAGAGATGCACGACTTAGGAAATGTTTTATAAACATAATTTCTCTTTTCTCTACTGCCACTTTTATGTCAGGAGATTTTTGAAAGTCTATGTAATAATTATACAGACACTAGCACCTAACAAATTATGAGATAGTCACTCAATTTTCCAGATATTTCAAGTAAACTTTTCTTAATTGAAATATTAACTCATTTATTTCAACCTCCACTACTGAAAAGTGATCTTCCTTTATTCTTTGGGAATAAAACTTTTCCTCTTTTTACTGTAATGAATCCTCAATGCAGTAGTGAAATGATAGTTACAAGGCCACTCAGAAATAACTTATGTTAAAAAGCGACTTTGATTGATAAGAGGTTACCCAAGTTCTTTAATTGTGGTGTAATTTCTTCATATAAACTGCTACATAAAATAATATCTTAATTAGTTTATAACTGTAAATTTCTATTACTAAGAGGATTTTTTGACCATTGTAGGATCTGTAATAAGTAGGCATCAATTTAAATTGAGAAAGGTAAAAGACATTTGGAATGAGGAAAGCTGAGGTGTAATAGTGGTAGTAATAGTAATAGTAATAATTTTGATTGAGATTTCTTGAAGAAAAACTTAATTAAGAATTTCATAAAATCTACCAGTGGAAAAGAAGTTTTCTTTATTGAAAGACAGTATGACCAGGAAATGGTGGCCACATGTTGGCTCATTTCTACAATTTTGCTTTCAAATTTTTGACAGAATTTATTGGAAAGTAATTTCATCACCTATCTCATTTAAATCTTTCACTTCATATACCAGAGCAAAAAAATGAACTGTAAGAAGCCAGAGTAACTCAGGTGTCAGAACTTAATTTGTTATTTAGAACTGGTGTGTCTCATTCACGTAGTTCACACACATTCACACCAAGCTGTGTGTATTCAAAAAGTGTTAATGAGCTTCTTTTCATGAGTACCTTATTCAATGGGTTTCCAATAAGACAGAAGTACCACTTAAACCACAGAGAATGCCATACTCACTCGCAGACACGGAAGCATAGAATGTTCCTGCCTTTGGTTTATGAACAGAGATACCGCAGTGTTTCTAGATCTATCACCACCATCAATTCAAGGAAAATGGGTATGAAATAGCTACTATGTAAACTCAAACTTTCGGTGCCAGAAGGGCCTTCCACTCAACTAGTCAGGATCTTCATTTCACCAGTGAGGACACGAAAGACACATAATTAACACAGTGTCTTTTACAAAACAGATGCTAAATAAATATTTATTATTAAGTGGTGAACCACCATTAATAGCTATAAGCAGAGAAAGAACAGAACCCCACATCTTCTGATACTTATAGCCTCTGAGATGGTTTAGTTGTCTTGAGTCAGAAAGACTGAACTAAGATGAGGATTAACCACCGATATAATATCAACAACAATCCATGGTCTGAAAACACTTCTGAGACACGTGTATATAGTGAGTAAAAGACTTTTGAAATAATTTTTCGAGGGCAAAGTGTAAAAGAAGATATTTATGACAAATGGCAAAGGGAAAAAAGAGTGTCTATATTTGACTCCCTTTCTTGTTGAGTGAATTTCAGTGGGCTCTAAATCTCAAGTATAGATTTCATGGTTGATTTAGAAACCTTGCTCCATGTGAAAAAATGCATGGATCTGGAGATGGCTGAAGAATGATATTCAACATGTGATTGGAAGAATTTGGACATTTAAAGAACTCTCCGATATTCTGCCAGGTTTTGAGCCTCAGTATCCATTGATTACTTCACAAGAAGTAAAGGCATTTCAAGAGAACTAAAAAATTCAATAGAATTTTAAAAATTTAATTGAATTTTTAAATTCATTTAGAAGAACTAATGAATGTATTTGTGAAAAAGAAATATAGAAGAGGGATTACATCTGAGTTTTCAAAAATTGGGTTTCTGGTTCCCTTTTCTGGGAGGCAATGAAATGAAAACAACATCATGTCTAATTAAATGGCTGAGCCAAGTGGTAACTCTCTGCATATGCTCTTGGATCACTCTATCCTTTTTGTTAAAACTCTCATAATTGAATGGTGCTTGCCAGAACTAGAAATGAAAAAACCCAAAAGATCCCATGTAGACTGAGTATAAAGCCATGTTAGCAAAGCTTCCTCCAGAGGGCACATGCATCTGGCAATGTGCACACATACATACACACTAACACTTCACACTCTCCACTCACTCATTCACACGGAAAAACACAGGTAAACAAGATTCCCAAAAAATTTTAAGATAAACAACAAAGTTGATTGGCTTAGTTAGCACTTATTTAGCACTTGAGTTGCTCAGGAATCTAAGGCAATTAGCTTACTTACAAATACAAAATTATTCTCTTCTCTATGAGTAGAGATAAATGGTAAGCTATTGGTGCTTTTCCAATCTATTTTCAAGGCCCATTACAAAAATAAATCAGTGTGTCTTCTAATAATTCTAAAAACAGTGGGTGATAATTTTCTTAGTGTGATTTGAAACAAAAGAAATAAATGTCCGTATTTACTAAAATCTTGTTTTTAGTTACATTCAGGAACAAGATACAGTCCAGTTCTCCTTGGTGGAAATCAGCAGTCTATTTGCTAATTCTCTTTTGACTATAAAAAAATCTTCTGGAATGAAATGCATTGGCAGTGCAAAAAAAAAAAGAAAAAGAAAAAGTATAAAAATAAACTAATGATTGAATTAAGCATTCAAATAAGTTCTTTGCCAGGTTATCTGCAAGCACAGGACTCTACTGTCATGTTAGGATATACTTTAAGTACCACATTCTTATTTTCATCAAAGAATAAGATGCTGAGTGAGGACATCTTTTCTGGCACACAGCAAGGCTCAGGGATTCCAGGAACCACCCCCACAGCTCTCACTATACTCTGGATGGTAGCATGATTTGACGGCTTCAAAGACTAGAAAAGAAATGAGAGAAGAACACGTAAATTGGGTGGACCAGCTTTTCTAATCTTCACCCCTCATCACTAAAATGTATATATGAGGATTTTATTTCAACAATTTAGAAAAGCCCTGGCATTCTTACACATTTGGCCCATTCGATCCTATCCCACCACCACCCAAACGGTGGTCATTTGTTAAATGCCTGCTATGTGCGAGGTATGTTTTATGGAGTCTCTCTAATCCTTACAACAAAACCACTTTGTTTAAATTTTACAGGTAAAGAAACAGGCTCAAAAAGCATAAATAACATGTCTAAAGTCAAATAGCCAGTAAGTGGTAGAGTGAAAATTTGACGCCATTTATCTAAGCAAGAATCACTTAATTAAAAACACTTAGTCTCCCATCAGGGGATTAATGCATCCTAAAATGTTTTCAAGAACAGCACTGAAACAAATAGGATTTGTTCTTGATCCTATGTAACCAAGAAACCTAACAAGCATCCTACTTAACACAGATACATTATTGCCACTGCTATGGTGATATTTGTATTTTGTTGTTAAAATAAAACCAAGCAGGTCAAGGGGCATTTATTTATTTAATAATTGCCACCAGGATGAATTGGACAGTGATTGCTCCCCTATATAATTATTCACCTCTTCTTAGAAGCAGAAACGGGGTTAAGAAGACCACACCATTGGCCACCGGGGGTCACTGTTGCTCCATGGGTTCAGACTTGAATGCGGTAGAGTTAAAAATGCTCGTATCCTCTGGGAATAATCCAGGAGGCCTAAGGTTATCCCATGGATGTCAGAAGTTTAACCAAAGAAGCCTGGGTAAAATCCATTCCTGAGAAAATGCCAAATGGGACCATTAACATCCATGTGAGACATGTGGTTCTGTTTAGAGAGTGCCCTACAGCTCTGCTCAGCACTGAAGGACAGTCCTTTTTTCAGGTCCAGAATGTTTACATATTGCCAGAGTGGCAAGAACTTCTTCAGGAGAGATGCCATGCTTTTCAACATTAGTTCTCTCCAATGTCTCTTTTAGGGAGGTGAAATCAGTTTTGTTTTAAACACACTTAGAAACAGAAATTTGGCGACTTGTCAGAGATGACATGTCAATTCAGGAGTGGGATTTAGGCCAAAACTGTGACTTAAATTTCAGGATTTTGAACCATGTTTCTCATTACTCAGAGGCACCTCTGTCCCAGTGAATTGGAATTTTAATTTCAGACTCCTAAAACTTCAGTATGGGAAACTGCAACAAGCTAAACGGCTAAGGTACATACAAGTCAAGGGAGAAGCAAATAATACAGAAAGCTGGCACACTATAAAACACATAGGATTCTTTTTGGCAGAGAAAGGGCAATTCTGATTTGTCACATCTGCATATCTTAATTTTAATGAAAAATTTGTCCATATATTAGACTTCAACTTTATTGTGAGTGGGCATGAATTATTAAAAAATTAGTCTTAATGATGGACAACTGTTTTTCATTCTTTCTTTCTAGAGATTTTATGTTAAAAAGAATACTTAACTTCCAACGAATTAGCTTTGTAAAATAAGGTATTACATCCACTTAAGGAAAAGAAGTCTACTTTGTATCTCATGTGCCCTGTCTGCCTCATCAATAAAATCTGAGTGACTGACACAAAACTGTAATCAGCATTGCACAATAGAGATCAACAACCACTGTTATTCCATCAGGGTTGGCAATTTCCAAAGAACATTTTTGTAACCATCTACTTTTCTCTGCTGGTTTTTCTGAAGACTCGGTCATTCAAACAGCTTATGGCACTGCCTGAAAGGATTTTCTAAGCCATAGATTTCCCAACATTATCTTGTTATTATCAATGTTTTAATGACTCCTACAATATTGAAATTTCATATGAAGTGGATCTACTTAAGTAGATGAGGCCTCAATCAATAAATACTGCTGTGATTCGCTATTCCTCAGTGCCCAAAAGAGTGTGTGCTCTAGGGATGAATATATATACTTGCTAAGTGGGTGAAATACTCCCAAGAAATAGCATGACCTCCATTTTCCTTATTTCTGTGGAAATAATTCCTGTCAACAAAAATAAAAGTTTCTGTGCAAATGACCCGGAGTAGATATGGAAAATATTCATGGGTGTTTCCTAGGAAAATTCTTGTCTTTTTTTAAAGCTCTAACTCACAAATGAAAGATGCAGAAACTATGAGCAGTCTCTGGTGGGCTCACTGGAATTCTGGTGCAAGCCCTTGATTCTGGGGTGGTATGTCTTATCAGGAGCATCTCAGTTTTATAGGGAGTTTCCCTCTTTTTTACTCACTGTGAAATCCTCTGATAAAGCTGCCATTACCAGGAATAATTATGGCATATACAGAAGATCCATGCTGTAATTTGCTTGTTTGAAGTATATTGCCAGTTGATAATTTTTGTTTTTGAGTTCAGTTCATGTTTCTCATGACTCTATGTAACAAGAAATCTATTGATCACAAATGCAGATCTGTGTTATTTCCATGACTTATCTCATCTCTCTTTTTAATGAGGATGAAACATGACTTCAGCATTCATTTGTAATTTTTTGCTTAGGTAACACAGGACATCAAGATGTAGGATTTTTAGAGTTTGTCTTCATGACCAGAGATTGGAATTGGAAAGCTCAGGAAATTTACTGAGGATGTGTCATTTTGAACTCATTTAATGTGAATTTCTTCTTTATATAGGAGCTTGGTTCAAAGTGTTTAGATCTTTGCTGTCTAATTCTGTGTTTTTGCAATTTCTAGCTTTTCTACCATTCCATGCAAAAATAATTTCATTCTCCGAATTCTCGTTGGTTCTCTTGGATCTCTGTCAGCAACAATGGCTCAATCATTTTCATTTGAAATCTGTTTTCCATCTATGCTAAGGTGGTGAGGGAGGCAGAGGCATACTACTTGGCTTCGGTTATATGGGCATTTTTCATCTCATGGCAGAATTCCAGGGTCTCTCCCTGGGAGAACAGATTGACTGTAGGGGCTAGAAATAAAAAAAATCCACACTACTGTGTCTGTGAATGAAATCTGTAGTGGTCAGGCCTGCACCTGCCAAGCTGCACATGATGTCCTCGGGTTGAATTTGATTACAAATGCATTAGCCGGGGGAGAGTATGTCATCAGCTACAAGGCTTCATTCCTGACCCGGGCCGTGGGGTTTTGCTCCGCTCTTCCAGTCCAGCCCACATGGGTGTGATAGCCCAGAAACTATCTAATTGGAATCAGTGAAAGGGCAAAGCCTGGAATTTGGGAAAGGCAGAACACAGCTGTTCTGAATTACAGAACAGGTTGTCAACTTTTGCAGACGAAGGCCCTGCCATATAGAGCAGGCTTTTGCTCAGGAGGCCAAAAGGAAGAAGGGCCAGCAGAGGAGTCTGGGCTGGGAGAACTTTTCTCTGGGGCAAAATGTATATCTAAAGTCTGAAAGTTCTTTGGCGCTTCAGTTATTCCACATGTGTTTGTGCTGATCTGGTCAGAGACCTTATTCTCCCCTGTTGTTTGGACTGTATTTTTATTAAACTAGTTCACTCTGGTTACTCTGTGGGACACGTGCTGAGAACAGTGATGCTCATTAATTACCCTAATGTAGCAGCTTCATATTGTTTTCCGTTTCTCTTCCTTTGATTGCTGTACTGGTTGAAAGCCACAAAGCCTGGAAGGCTCAAAGGGAACCACTAGAAAGCTTTAAACCGTAAGCTGATCCAGGCAAGGTGAAGACAGAGAACGCCACGTAACAGCCAAACTTCCACTCTCAACTTGGCAAAAGGAAATCTCAAGCTCAGAGAGAAAAGTCCACACTTATCCCTGTGATGCCTCCCCAGAGTTCGGATGCCATTCCAAGTTCTGACAAATGTTGTGATGGGTTTGGTTGCTGCAGCCGGTGCTCTCCTGATTCAATTACTCTCCGAAGAAATGTTGTTGGAAGACCGTACAGGCTGTTGAACCCAAGGGGGAAGTCCTATTTTAGGCTTTGTCATGTTTAAAAGGGACTAGTAACATGTACAAAAGTTTTTCTTGTCTTACATCTTTTGTTCTCTTCATCCCTGTGTGGTCTCTCTTCAGTCCCATACACTTAGTGTTCTCTTCTCAGCCTCAACAATGGCTATTAATAACAATGTCAATAGCAAATATTTATGGAGTGCCTACTCTGTGCAAGGTATCCTACTACTTAATTTTCTCAGTGTGCTTATTATGTAGATACTATTGTTTTTATTATGTACTTGTACCCATTCTAAAGGTAAGAATAAAAATTGTTAAACTTATTTTATCAATATAAAGATTGATAGAGAGTTTGAGTAACTTACCCCCAAAAACTATAGCGGGCAAGAGGTGGAACCAATTCAAACCAAAAGGATTTGACTCACAGTTTTGCTATTTGAAGTGTGATTTGTGGACCAGCAGGATCAGCCACATCTAGAAGCTTCTTAGACAGGCAGAATCTAAGAATCTGAGCTGCTGGATTAGAACCTACATGGTGACAAAATCCCCAGGCAATTTGCAGGCACATTAAGGGTAAGAAACCCAGTTATGACCAAGTACACACATTTAGTCATTCTGCTGCACTCGCATGCTTTTCTCCTTAAACTTACTCACTGCTATTCTTAATTTGTTCCTCATACTTATTAAAATTAGTATTCATTAGATCACTGAGAACCTGTAATGAAGATCTACTGAAGCAACAGCAAGGTTTTTGAACAATAAAAGCACAGAGCCAGTAGGCGATGAGAGGGGCATGTTGGGGCAATCGTGGAGCAGTGGCAAGTGGGGATCAGGCTGGATTTCCAGAGTGGGGGTGCCGAAAAGCTAACTGATGAGTGATCATGGCTTCCTGGGTCCTGAAACCTGGAGTCAGGAGGGAAGAAAAAGTTCATTTCCTAGGCTGCTCAGAAAAAACTACAGCCTATGAGAATGAGAGGGATTATTTGGAAGGCTTAGAGACCCACTTATAATCAGGCATTCTAGGTTTAGAGACAGTTTGAATCCATTCTGCCTGTCAGTGCCACAAAGCCAGACACACTGTAAAAGATTCATCATTGCCTGTTTAGACTTGGCATCTCTGCTGTGTGTTTCTAAATGCTATCCCAGTTTGAATAAGTTTTGTTTCATCAGTGAAATGCCCTTTATGAATATTTAGGCAAGACAAGGCTGTTTATATGACTATAAATGTATATAATCCTTACTTTGTGTTTGGACTTGTAAAGCATGGAATCAACAAAAATCCTTTAGAAAGACAAGGTCTTAGAAAATGTAAAAAGCCTGTCCTTCTGAGATTTTCTAACACCAAAATGGGTTTTCAATCAAGCTCCTGGCCCTGAGGCTGACCTGATCTTGTTGAGCCAGACCTTTGCTTTTCGCTGTGTTACAGTTAGTATGCCAAACATCACAGGACTGGAATTGGTCACTCTTTGAGGCAAACGGTTTTTTTTCTCCATTATTACACAACAGCAAAAGTTGATTCACTTCAAGTTTTGGAAAAAACATAAAACCGGAAAACCCTAGCTCTACTCTTCCTCTAAGTTCTATTCCTGCAGCCACTTTTCATGTATAATAGGGATTCAAACTGTTTTGAGCTAAGAGTGAAAGTGTCATAATAAGCTTAAAGGAAGGCCAGAGGGCACCACTGTATTTTGGTAACTCTAAACTCAAAGAGAACTGCCACTTGGCCTTGCTATCAAGATGGAAGTAGGACTGGGGAGGCTTCTGAGAATGTATTTTTCAGGATACTGAGTACTGATATGATAGAGCACAGTCCCTTGTTGATTTTGGAAGAGACACAGGTAAGCCCCGGTTGGTTGAAATGAGTCTTGGAAGAAGTTTACAGAGTTAACATATCCTATTCTGCCTCTCTTTTTGATGTTGATCAGGGAAGCAAATGAAATAAGCATCTGGTGGATTTCATGAGTGCGATTACCTGGCTCAACCCTGATCCTGACCCCGTGAGGACAATTCATCTCACAAGAAACAATCTACCAAAAAATGTTCTTCATCAGGGCATCAATCCAATTTGTTATTCCCTTTACTCCAATGACATGCACTCATTCTCTCAACAGCCCCTCCAAGATCAGTCTTCTACCATTTGGGGCTTGCTTATGTGGACAGGTATAGATACACACAGCTGAACAGACCAAGTAGCTGAATATGTAGTATGTTTGGAAGCAAGACAAAAACCATATTTTACACATACATTTTTTCTCATATCCTTCTTTATACCAATACTGACTTCATGTTACTTTAACAACCAGTAAAGAAAACCAAGCATAATCCTATTACCTATTACACTTCAGAATGCAATAAATAAGGGTCCAAAAGGATTTTATAAATGAAAACACCCACTCAACTTAGTGTGTCTTTCTCCTCTGTGGAAATAGAAAGTGCAGGGCAAGGAACAATGGCTACCTTTGGCATGGGAAACTGGCATGCTCCGGAGCAATAATAGGCATCAAAGGACTTAGGGGAGATAATCCATTCACTCCAGCCAATATCCGCAAAGTCCACTTTAAGGTATCGCCTGGCACAATTCCTAGGCTCGATCCATTGCTTTCTTCTTGCCTTCTTCAGGGTCTGTTCATCAAACTGGAGCGTCTGGCTCTTCTGGTGAGGTCCCTTTCTCTGTTTCTTTTTGTTTTTACTCTTCTCAGGGGGCTGAGTCTGAAGGGTCTTATAAGGCTTTCTTTCTTCCCATACCCCTTCTTCCTTATACTGATATTCTGCCCCAGGAAGCTCATTGTTCTGCAGAGGCAGCAGGACCCCAGTAGAGCGCTTCTTCCTCCGTTCCATAGAAAAAGCAGCCCTCATATGGCTATCTAGTTTTGGCACAGTTCCAGTGGGCAAATTCCGGTGTCCTTGCAAGCTTGACACCACACTCTCAGGCTCAGAAATGGCAGCGTCGTTAGCATACACCAGGATATAAGGCTCAGGAAAAGGTAACATCTTCTTTGGCAGCTGGTGTCCTTTGGAGGTAATGTTGAATCCTATAAGGAACTCCTCATTTTCCTTGGCCCTCCTCAAGAGTTGAGTGATGTCTTTCGATAGCCAGGACACAAAGTCTCGGTGAGGTGTGGCTACATCTACTGAAAGATGACACAGAAGTTGACTTTGGTTTCTGTTGGATTTAAGAATCCATGCAGAGAGATCAATCTGGATGTGTTTTCTCTGAGCATGATGTGAGCATCCTTGGGACACTGGACAACTCAGGCTGATATTTATTAGCTCTCCAATATAGAAATACAGTGTGGCAGATAAAATGTTTTCAGACTTGGTTAGAGAAGTCAAGTTAAAAATATGCAGTCCCTTGCTCTCAAGGGTTCCTAGGAAGGAAAAAAAAAAAAAAAAAAGAGTAAATGGGAGTAAACGAGATCCCTACCTCATACCATATACAAAAGGTAACTCAAAATGAATTAATGGCCTAAGTATAGAAGCCAAAACCATTAAATTCTTGGAAGAAAACATAGGGGTAAAATCTTCATGGCCTTGGATTTTGCAATGGATTTTTAAATATGACACCCAAAGTATGAGCAACAAAAGAAAAAAAAACAGATGTTGATAAAATAAATTGATAACATAGATAAAATGGACTTCATCAAAATTAAAAGCTTTGCACATCAAAGGACATTGTCAAGGAAGTCTGTACAAGCTACAGAATGGGGAAGATACTTTCAAATCATATATGTAGTAAAATCTAGTATCCAGTATATATAGGTAACTCTGATAACTCAACAACAAATAAGTCAAATAAACCAATTAAAAAAAACAGGTAAAGACAGATGGTAACTATACTTTTCATGATGAGCATTTCATAATATAAATGTCAAATCACTATGTTGTACACCTGAAACTAATATAATATTGTATGTCAACTCTTCTTCAATTAAACTTTTTTTTTAATGAGCAAAGGAATCAAATAGATGTTTCTCCAAAGTTATGCAAAAGGTCAACAAGGACATGAAAAAAAGCTCAGCATCAATACACATTAGGGATGTGTAAATCAAAACCACAGTGCAGTAGCAGTTGACACGCACTAGGCTGGCTATAATAATAAAAAACAAAATAGCACGTGTTAGCAAGGATGTGGAGAAATTGGAACCCTTTTATATTGCTGGTTGGAATGCAAAATGCAGTAGCTGCTGTAGAAACAGTTCGGCAGTTCCTTAAAAAGTTAAACAGAACTATTATGAGATGCCATAATTCCACTCCTAGGTATATAGCCAAATGTATTGAAAACAGGTACTCGAACAAGTACATGTACATGCATGTTTATGGTAACATTATTACAATAGCCAAAGATGAAAGCACCTCAATTGTCCATCAATGGTGAATGGATAAATGAATTGTGGTATATCTGTACAACAGAATATTATCCAGCTATAAAAAGCAATGAAGGAGCAATACAACTTATAAAGTGGAGGAATCTTGAAAACATTATGTTAAATTAAAGAAGCCAGGAACAAAAGTCACATATTGTTTGATTCCATTTATATGAAATATCCAGAACAAGTAAATCTGTAGAGGCAGTATGCAGACTGGTGTTTCTCAGGGACCGGAGGCATGGAGGGATGGGGAAAAACCGCTTAATGGATATGGGGTTTTATTTTGGAATGAGAGCAATGTTTTGGAACTAGACTTGGTGATTGTGCAATATTGTGAAGGTACCAAATGCCACTGAATTTTTCAGTTAAAAATAGTTAATTTTATGTTATGTGAATTTCACCTCAATTAAACAAGAAGAGATAATAGGAGTAATTTTAAAGGCTAAAGAAAGATTAAAGCAAGGATCAGCCATTTTACTATAATTTGTTCTTTCCTTTACTGAAACACCATGAATGTGCAAAATCAGCAACACAGTGGTAAAGTTAGTGGTTGCAAGCTGGGTGCTTTGGCGTTTAATTATGAGATTACTTAGAACTGTTCCTGTAAATTTGGCACAGAATTGTAATAGCTTCTTATCAGAGGTGGTGTACAGCCTACTGGCTATAAGCATTGGTAAAATTAGACTCACTTTGATTCAAGTACTGGCTCAGCCACTTTGGGCAAGCTAGTGTTCTTATTCATAAAATGGTGATAATGTCTTCACATCTGAGAATTAAATAAGATGTGTGCAGAACAGTTCATAAAGGGTCCAATAAGGGTTTCTTAACTACCATTATTATTGTTACAGTGTTGGTATTAACTGCACTACAAGATTATATCTTCTATCTGCTTTACAAAATTTAGGGTGCAGAATGAGGATGGGTAAGAAGACCATCTCAATATTCAGTACTGTATCTGAAAAAATAATCTACATGTTCAAAAGTGTCATAAATAATTAATGCTGTTGTGGAGCTTGTCTGAAGTTTATGACATTCCATGAACTTAAAAGTTGAATTTCTTCTATCAAAATTATTGAAACTGGTCAATCATATTTCCAATTCTTCAGAAGTGAGAGATAGTAATAGAACAAGACTGATTAATAAGGGCAGAAGTTGGTCCCTTCTCCTATGATCATCTGACAAGTTAGGGGTAAGACTAAGGTTAGACTCAAGAAACCCCCGTCTTGGAATGAGTCACCAGAGCCAGAATCCCTCTTCTATGCTCTTGTTCCATATACATGTTTGTTTCAGAAACATACACGCAATCATGAAATTAGGTTCTTGATCAAAAACATATTTCAGTAAAAAAAAATATTTTTATAAAGATGTGGAAACTTAAAATGAGTTCATTGAGTCCCCAAGCACAAGGGAAATGCAATGTGAAACATATTTTGTTCATTTTTAACATTGTGTGAAGGGAAAGGAGGAAACTGCCATTTGTGCACATTTGTATAATCCATGACACCAGTATAATATTTTACAGACATTTATAACAAAGCCATGGCATTGGGGTTGTTCAGGGACTCTAGCCCTAATTCATACCAGTCAGTGCAGAGTATACTTTTATGCAAACTTCATGTAGCAGATGAAGTTTAAAATGGAAGGAAGAGAAATCTCTGTTCTAAGAATGTGGCAATGGAATGACTGCCAAATCAAACATCCTGGCAGGGAAGATGTGAACTACGAGGGATGCGGGTGGCAGCATCTTAATGGGAAAGCTGCTTATACTCCTTTTCCCCACAGTTTGCTTTAAAATGTTTCCTTCTTTCAACCATGTTTCCAGACACCTTGCGACCTGCTGTTAACCAGCTTCCACACCTCTCTCTAATGTTCAGTATCTTCTCATTGCCTGAGAATCTGCCATACTGCCTTTCTGATGGCTTCCATTTTAATTCAGTGCATTGTTTTGAAGTCAAGTTGCTGTGGCCCAGTACAAGCTCCACCACATTCTATAGCTGTCTTCAGGCACATGACCTAAGCTCTTTAAGTCTCAGTTTGCTCATCTGTAAAATGAGCCCAATCAGTAGTGCTAACTGAAGAGTGTTGTGAGAATTAATCGAAAGAATGCAGGTAAGTACATAGCATAGATGTAGCTCTGGGAGTAAGGGGGTTCCCCAACTGGGGCAAGTTCCTTACAAATCCAGCAAAACCAAAGGAGGACAAGGAGAAGGGCAGGTTGGGTTATAGGGTTTTTATTGCTTGCAGCTCAGTGTCTTGCTTGGTGTTTTCAGCCCCCTATCACTTGACTCCCCTGGTCCACTCCCAAGCCCTTCCTCTCCAGCCCCCAACCTGCAAGCTCACAGTGACCATTCTTCTGTAGCATGTATGCTCTCCCACACCTGCCCCTTTGGGAGGGAATTCCATGGACAGTCCCTAGTGACTGGTGGGCACCAGACCAATTAGGTACCAGGAATGGAGGGAGGAGAAAATGGCCATTTTCTCTCCACCCCTTGACCCCCATCAACCAGAGACTCTGCAGTGGTAAACATCCATTGATATGTAAATAGACCCTTACCCGCATATCACTATAGAGGTCAGATGGAAATTCTGGGTTGAAACTTCCATTTACACCACAATAGAAAACACTCAATGAGTATCGCTGACTAGAATGCACTCTCCAATATGATAGTGATTAGCCATTTAAGTTTGAATTGAGATGTGCTGTAAGTATAAAACACACACTGAATTTCAAAGACTTAGTATGAAAGTGAATGTAAAATATCACATTGATATATTTTATATTACTTGGATGTTGACATGTTAATTGGATACCTGGGGTTAAATATTGTGATATTATCAATTTATAATAAGAAATATATTTTTGGTCTTCCTCACTATTTGTGGCAGAGAGCTCCTAAAACCTTTGGAATTTCCTAAATGTTGAGTGCTATAAAGGTGTCTTTAGTGATGTTACTGAGGTGACTTTGAGGTCAGGTAAAGATGGGGCTGGTTGCCATGGGAACGAACCCTTTAACTGGAGGGTTGGAACTTGTAGTCCCATCCCCCTGACCTCTGAGAAAGGGAAAAAGAGACTGGAGGTTGAAGCCATCACCAATGGCCAATGATTTAATCAACTGTGCCTATATAATGAAACCTCCATAAAAAACCCAAAAGAATGGGATTTGGAGAGCTTCCAGGTAGGTGAACACATGGAGATTTGGGGAGAGCAGTGTGCCTGGAGAAAGCACGTAAACTCTTTCCCCACACTTGCCACACACATCTTTTCCATCTGGCTGTTCCGAAGTTACATACCTTTATAGCAAGTTATTAATCTATCAAGTAAACAGGTTTTTTGAGTTCTGTGAGCCACTCTAGCAAATTAATCAAACCCCAGGAGGGGGTTTTAGGAACCTCTAATCTGTAGCAGGTTAGTCAGAAGCACAGGATATGACCTGGGCTTTCCACTGGTGACTGGAGTCTGAAGTGGAGGCAGTCTTGTGGGACTCTGCTCGTTACCTGTGGAATCTGATGCTAACTCTGGGTAGATAGTGTCAGAATTGAGTTGAATTCTGACCCCATTCTGGTGTCCACGAATTGCTGATTGGTGTGGGGGACTGCCCATCCCTGACCCACATTGGAATTGGGTGTAGAACATTTTAAATATAAAATATTACTAAAATTAATTTCACCTGTTACATTTCATATTTTAAAATGTGGCTACTAAAATTTTTAAATCACATATGAGGTCACATTTGTGGCTCAAATTAAATTTCTGTTGGACAGTGGTGGTTTAGAATAGCCAGTTTTGTACTCATATAGTCTGAAAGGAAGAAAAAAGATTTATTTTGCCAAATGCAGTGAATAAGTAGGATTTTGCTAGATGTGAATATGCCAACCAAAAAAGCAAATTGAGCAAAATATTCCCTTCTTTGAATGCAATATACCTTCCTTTATCAAGGACATATTATTAAGTAAAGATAATTTTGGTGGTTATTTTAAAAATTTTCCCTCCAGCTGTAGCT